TTTCAACTTAAATCCGGTGAATTCTGTTTGGGATCTGACGAATTTCAATTAGGATACAAAGAATCTCAACTGGAATCTGAACATGCTTGACTGGGATCTGGTGAATCCCGACTAGGATCCGAAAAATATGGACTAGTATCCCAAGAATCTCTGGTGAATCTCAACTATGTTACCGAGCAATTTTACTTTATTCCGTTGAGACCCATCGAATACCGACTGGCATCCGGAGAGTACCGACTGAGGTCCAGAGAGATCCCAATGGGAATTTGTGCAATTATTCCGCTATCCTGGAAAATCCTGACTTATATTCGGAAAATCTTACCTGTGATCTGGCGAATCTCGATATGAATTCGGAAAATCCCGAGTAAGATATGGTGAATTCTGACTGGGATTAAAAAAATACTAACTGGAATACGGCCTAGAAAATATCAACTGGAATACGGTCCAAGAGTCCCGACTGGTGTCGCGAGAATCTAAACCAGGATCTGACAAATTATGAGAATTTTGTGAATCCCTTAAAATTCCTACTTTAGTCCGGTAAATCCTGTTTGGGATCTGAAGAAGTTTAGCTGGAACTGGGATTATTCCGACTAGAATCCAGAAAATCTTGACGGTTCTTCGGAGAAACTCAACTGCAATTTGGTAAATCTCAATGGTGTTACTGAGAATTTTGATTTTAATCCTGAGAATTTTGATTTTAATTTAATGACTGGAGTCCAGAGAATCCCAACGGGAATCTGTAGAATTACGTCTTTAATTCGGTATTGACTGGTATTAGGATAATCTCATCTGATGATCTCGTCTAGAGTTCGGAGAATCCCAAGTAAGATTTGCCGAATTCTGGCTGGCTTTCAGGAAAAATCAACTGGAATACGAACAATTACGACATCCATGCGGAGAATCCCGACTGAGATCCGGAGAAACGTCACTAAGGCGCAAATAATCTCGACTGCGATCATGAGAACTCTTAGCGGGATCAGAACAATTTTTAACTTTAATCCGGTGATTTCAGTTTGGTAACTGAACTGGGATCAGGAGAATCCTAGCCTGAATTTGGAAATATATAGAATTTCGGAGAATTTTGTAAATCCGTAGAAATTCCAATTTTAATCCGTTGAATCCTGTTTGGAATCTGAAGAATATCGACTGAGATCCGGAGAATATCAACTGGATTCCGAACAAGCTTTTACTGAGATCAGGGGAATTCCGACCAGGTTCCGGAGATGAACCAGCCTGCGGCTGAAAGGAAAAGGAAATCAATCAATTCCGACTAGGATTCGGAAAATCTTTACGGTTCGTCCCAGAATCTTATTTGGGATCTGGTGAATCTCAACTGTGTTACCAAGAATTTTTATTTGAATCCGTAAAACCATGACTGGGCTCCAGAGAATCCCAACGGGAATCTGTAGAATTACGACTTTTATTCGTTGATTCTTTACTGGTATAAAGAAATATCTCATCCGATGAATCTCGACTAGAATTCGGAGTAAGACTCGCTGAATTCTGGCTGGCTTTCAGAAAAAATCAACTGGGATACGAAAGATGTCGACACTTACGCGGTGAACCCTGACTGGGATGCTGAGAAACGTCCAAAGAATCTAGACTGCGATCTCTTCCCGAAGTCAGGAAAATTTTCAACTTCAATCCCGTGACTTCACTTTGGGATTCGAGGTAAGAATCTTAACTCCAATCCGAACAAGCAAGCCTGGGATCTGGATAATCCTGACTTGGAGGCGGAATATCTCTACTTGTCTCTATAGAACCTCATCTGAGAACCGGTGAGTTTCAACTGTGTTTCGGAGAATTTTGACTATAATCTGTTGAATCTTGATTGTGATTCGGAGAATACTGACTGACATTTTAGGTACAGAACAGCTTATACAGCCATAAATTGGCATATGTGACTAATTTTTGTTTGTTGGATTGTGACTTTAATAAGAATACTCGGGTTCTAACTGGTATCCGGAAAATCCCATCTAGAGAAACTCAACTCGAATTCGGATAATTTCGAGTTAGATTCGAAAAATTCCGACTGAGATTTGGAAAATATCAACTGGGATGCAATTTCAACATTGAATCGGTGAATCCAGTAAGTGATCCGAAGGAATGTGACTGAGATCCAAAGAAGCGTAGCTGAGATATGGAGAATCTCGAGTGGAATTAGGAGAATCCTTACCGGGATCTGAATAATTTTCAGCTTCCCTCTAGTGAATCCTGTCCTGTGATAAATCTCGATTGAGATATAAATAATCTCAATGGGATTGAGAATCCAAACAAGCTTGTACGGGATCTGAAGAATGCCATCTATGATTTGGAGAATTTGATCTATGTTACGGATTATTTCGATTTTAATCCGTTAAATCTTGACTGCATAATTAGAAATACCTAATCTTACACCTGACGGAATCCATCTTTGACATAAAGGATAGAACGTAAACAAACATCTCATGTAAAATTAAGTTCTTAAGACTGAAAAGTTCGAAAGTACGTTTGATTGAGCTGAATTTCACGTCTATTATGACTCAATTTTATGTCAAAATTGACGCCCGTATATGTCAGTTTCAGAGCACCTAAATTTACATATTTTTTCTAAGTGTGTGGGATCCGGAGAAAACTAACTGGGATCAAGAGAATAACAACTGGAATCTGCAAAATTCCCAACTAACAATTTAAGATACAGAACAGCTTATGGCTTATGCAGCTAGAGAATCTCGACATAGTTGGATTCGATGAATTTCGTGGTTCGGAAAATATCAACTGGGATACGGGTAATTTCAACATCGAGTCGGATTCACTGATTTGATGTTGAAATTTTCCCCATCCCAGCAGGTGATCCAGAGGAATGTGACTAAGATCCAAATAAGCGTAGCTAAGATCTGGAGAATCTCGAGTGGAATCAGGAAAATCTCGAGTGGAATCCGGGATCTGAAGAATTTTCAACTTCCATCCAGTGAATCCTGTTTGGGATCTCAAAAATCTCGATTGAGATACGAAGAATCTCAATGGGATTGAGAATCCGAACAAGGTTGTATGGGATCTGGAGAATGCCATCTATGCTTTGGAGAATTTCACCTGTGTTACTGATTATTTCGACTTTAATCCATTAAATCTTGACTGGGATCCGGAGAATAACAACTGTTCTGGTGCTAAAATTGTTTCTAGAATTATGACTTTAATCTGGAGGATCCTGGCTGGTATCCGGGAAATTTCATCCAGAGAATCTCAACTTAATCAGATTCGGCAAATGTTGAGGTTCGAAAAATATCAACTGGGATACGGACAATTTCAACATCGAATTAGTGAATCATGTAGGTGATTCGGATAAATGTGACTGAGATCTAAATAATAGTAGCTGAGATCCGGATAATCTCAACTGGGATCAGGAGAATCTTGAGTGGAATCCGGGATCTGAAGAATTTTCAGCTTCCATCGAGTGAATCCTGTTTGGGATCTGATAGATCTTGACTGTGATTTGAAGAATCTCAATGGGATTGAGAATCCGAACAAGGTTGTATGGGATCTGGATAATGCCATCCATACTTTGGAGAATTTCACCTGTGTTATTGACTATTTCTACTTTAATCCGTTAAATCTTGACTGGAATCCGGAGAATCACAACTGAGTTATGCAGAATTCCCAATTAACAGTTTTTGGTACAGAACAGCTTATACAGTCTTAAATTGGCTTATGCAGCTAACTTTTGCCTCCTCAACAAGCTGTTCTGGTGCTAAAATTGTTTGTTGGATTATCTGGAGGATCCTGGTATCCCGAAATCTTTATCAACTTAATCAGATTCGGTGAATTTTGAGGTTCGAAAAATATCAACTGGAATACGGACAATTTCAACATCTTATCAGTGAATCATGTTGGTGATTCGGAGATATGTGACAGAGATCCAAATAATAGTAGCTGAGATCCGGAGAATCTCAACTGAGATCAGAAGAATCTTGAGTGGAATCCAGGATCCGAATAATTTTCAGCTTCCATCGAGTGAATCCTGTTCGGGATCTGATAGATCTCGATTGGGGGAATTTCACCTGTGTTACAGATAATTTCGACTTTCATCCGTTAAATCTTGAATGGGATTTGGAGAATACTGGCTTTGATCTGATGAATCCCAACGGGAATTTGTAGAATTACATCTTTAATTAGGAAAAATCTGACTGATAGCTGGAGAATCCCATCTGAGATCCACAGAATATCGGCTGAAATCCAGAGATTCTCGAGTAGGATCTGGAGAATCAAGGCTAGGATACGGAGAATCAAAACCAGGGACCGGATGATTTCTACATTGATATGGTGAATCCTGCCTGGGATCTGCAGAACTCCAATAGAGATCCTGGGAATCGTGACTGGGATCCGGATGATCCCCACTGGAACACAGACAATCTCGAGGGAGATCCTGGGAAATCTGGACTGAAACTTGTTCGTTCTCTGGATAATATTTCATTGATAAGCATTCAATGATACTTTTCGAGATTCTCTAAATCCCAGCAGGAATTCTTCATACAATAATCAAGATTTTGTTTCCGTTTTAGGTATATTCATCGCTGCGACCATTACTTTGTTCTTTTGTGATATATTCCCTGTTTTGATATTGCTTTATCGTCGTATCACTATTAAATATGTAAAGCAACCGACGTGGATTGATCAAAAGCATTTTCCCAGACGTAATTGGGATTTACCGGCACCTTTGTCAAACTTCTCCGGAAACCTAGCCGAAGAATCCTGTCTGCGATCCAAAGAATTCTTTCAGTGAGTCTTGAATGGGATCCGGAAGTTAATTGTAGAGACTCGCCATGCAATGACATTATGGATAAATAGTGGATTTTCGAGAATGCAGTGTTAAAATATCTGAAAATCATGAAGAGAAATGTTCGATTTGATTGGAAAACTTCAGATAAGTTTAACGATTTTTGGATACGTTCCTGGATTTCCGGAGAAATTTATTGTATTTATTATTTATTTATTTATTTAAATCTATACAAACTCAGGATAGTCATGCGAATAATAGCAGTGGATGGAGCTTTGAAGAAGTTTATAGCGCCGTAGAGGGGTTCAGGGAACTTATGAAAAGTTTATTTAATTATGGAAAGTTCCAGGAATCATTTGGGATGTTTAGAAAATTTTAAAGTTGCTAAACGATTTTCAATGCAGGTTAGGAAAGTTTAGGAAACTTTGAAGTATACAAATACCTTCAAAGAAAGTCAGAGAAGATTCTAAATATTCCTATAGCTTTGGAGAAGATCAGGCAAGATTAATGAAATTTAAAAACGTTTAGAAATCGTATGCAAAATAAGCTTAGGGAATGTTCAGACACTTCAAAAAGTTTAAAGAAATTTATCAGAATTTCAGGTAAGCTCATCTACAACTGCAATTTCAGGATGCTTAAGAAAGTTTTTAGAATCGTCCAGAAAAGCCCAATGAACATCCAAAAAGTTTTTGCGACCTAAGAACTAAGATCTTATTTTGAAAAGTTGACCGAACTTCCATGGTGAGTTCACCAAATATCTCTATTAACATAGCATGGTCAATCATCATGAAACTCGTTGCGATGATGGGCAGCGATGTAGTAAAACTTTTTTTTTTTTAAATCGTAAATGGTCCCCAAATAGTTGTTGACAGGGAAGTGTTCTTCGACTGACACTAGCTTCTTTCAGACAGCTGACTTTCAGTTTATAGCCTTTCATTGAGTGTAGCAAGGGTACGGTTGACAGACTTATGGAACTCATCGAAAATTGCCTGCCATTCCATCTCAGAGGAACGTTTCTCTTGAGAAAATTGTACGTCTTGTTGTTCTCTACAGAATGTCATATTGACTCTCTAGCGAAGGTTACTATTAAATGTGTATAAGTCAGGACATGAGATTTAAATTCTACAGGTTATTTCTCTGTAAAGTAGTTCCAATTATAAAATTCGTTAAAGGTAATGTACAATTTAACAACTGTGTTGGGAACATGTTGATTAAAAACCAAATGATTTTGAAACTATTTCCTGTAACTACTAATCAAATATCGCGAAAAACGGCCTTTCAAGAAACCCGGTCCTCGTGCAACAAACTTGCAAACCTGCATTTATTTTGCATAGCTCGGCCAATAAAATGCCAATTACTGCAATTTACTAAATCACAGCCATTTCTTTTACATTGAACATGGCAAAGTTTCACCTCGCTCGTACGTCTCAATCATCATCATTATCGTAAAAATCAGAAACAGCACCCCATCCAACGTCTCAATCACGTCCAGTTCGCTTAGTGGGCATATCTAGTGAAATAAAATCAATTTCAGCTATCAATATTCAATTAACCGCTTGTGTTTTATCTTCTGTATTTTATTGAAATAGTGCAGCTGCCGCCTGGAAGGCATCATTTCAGTCAGAAGCGCTCGTAGCATGCATGCAATGCAAGTTGCGCTCGTTAGCTACCGTTTCATACTAGGTACGTCCATAGCCCTACAAAGTACAATCGCCAATTGAGACGGCAGGCGGTGGTGGTGTTCTTGCTAGCCGAAAGGGATGCTGTACAAGCTGTGCTGTATGTTAATTCATGTAGTTATTCAAACTTTTCATTCCGAATAGTTTGCTGCTGGCTGCTCCGTGCTCGGTGATATCATACCTGCGCGCGAGTTGAAGATCATTAAACACGGGTTAGAAGTATCAAGGAACTACTGGGAAGTTGCACAACCACCGCCGTGTCCATGGCCAGCAGCGCTCGTCGTCGAAGCGAAACAATAATTTAAATAATAACAGAGTGTGGATGCTGCCCGCAACTCAAACGGCCTAAGTCTGACCGCACGCGTTCGCGCTTGTTAGCGGGAATTTGAAGGAGCGGCCATTACCCAGTTTGTGGAAGCTGGAATCTTCGGAGCTCAGTACCTACAGTATCATTGGCGGCCTTCTTTTTTTTTCTGCTGTCGGTGTAACGTTTCACTTTATCGAAAGCGGGAGGACTAGTGTTGAAGCTAGATTGGATTGGCATCGCATACAGATAATGATTTATAAATATTTATAAAGATTGACTTGACCTATATACGTATGGCCAGCAGCAGCAGCGGCGGCAGAGTGCATCTTGTTTGCTTCACTAAAGTGTGGCTACCGGGCTTGTGAGAAGAGCCGCGGCTAAATAAAGCAGAAATCACGTGCCGATCGCCCAAGTTGCGGCAAAGGTTAAACACTCTGATTAAAGGGAGATTATGATTAAAGCGTAGCGTAGATTTTCTGTAGGATTCTGCGCTAATCGTTTTGATACAGTACATCTTCGAGGTTACGTATATTATTTACTGCCTATATCATGTTCCTAAGTCTATATCTACAACCAGGAAGGCGTTTGAATCTCTTGCAGTATGCTAACCGCGTCGTGACGACCCATATTCCGGCAGATCTCGATCAGATTGCAGACCGCGTTCAGATCTCGGTTTCGGCATTCCCACAGATCGAGGATCTGGTCGGTGGGTGAGGGTTTCGTGGCAAAGTACGCCAGGTACCGGTCCACGCTGAGATGAGCCGCCAGCATGCGCCAATCGTTGCCCTTTTGCGTGGGAGGATCCAAACACTTACAGAGCTTCTTTTTCATCAGCTTGCTCAGACGGAATTTGTCCGTGTTGATGACGTTGTGTTCGCCATTGGCAGAGTTCGAACCCACACTGCAAATGGTCATCGTTTCGAAGGAACTTGACGAATGCTGACAGTTGCTGCCATCTTTCGAGAGGGGAGTAAACGATGAGATGCTCAACGTCGACGGAGTCACGTTGAATCCGCAATTCTCCTGAATCGCCTGTACATCGATCTTGAAATCACACTTATCGTGCTCCGTTCGACTTAGCGTGAAACTACAGTGCAACGTCGAATTGCTATTGTTCCACACGTGCGAGAATGGTATCACCTGTCGATCGCCATAAGGCTTGGACTTCCACCCACCGACGCATCTAATATCTATACACAGATCTTGACTGTTATCGGAGAAGTACAGCACCGTACTCTTCCCCAACAGAACCCCTCCAATCTCCTGCTCACAGTACCGGCATCTCTCCTCAGCGCCCGGATTATCCTCCACGATGTAAATTCTTACACTAACGTCCGAAAATTCCGGTACCGTAGACGGTCCGCAAATGAACATGCGCAGCTTTTTGCAGGCCACTCGCTCCTGGATGTCGTTGGCCGATTCTCCCACCAGCACATACTTCCCAAAGGCCTCGGTCAACACGTACGCATACCGTTTGTCTATCTGGACAAATGCCGGAGTGTTGATGTTCTCTTTCCCGATGATAACCGCTTCATTCCACCGGCCGGATCCATCCGCTGAGTGGTACAACGAAAACTGCCAGTTGGATAGATTCTCCGCACAGTGAGGCACCTTCAGGACGATGGGTTTGTGTACTTTGGTATCCGGAGGACCGCAGAACACCACCGGGCTGAGGAAGGTGATCCGGGATCCTTGGCTTTGGATGGAGAACTTGTCGTCTTTGACGATGGATAGGACAACGCTTTGCTTCTGGTGTTTGGAGATGGCTCCCTCTGGTATGAGAAGCGCCACGAAGTAGGTGTTAAGGCGCATTAGGGCGCCCGCCGGCGTCAAGGTCATCTGGGTGTAGTCGGTGGTGCGCAATCCGTTGGATGTTTGATCAATTGGGACGGGCAGCGCGGAGTTGACTACCAGAGCTTGATCGTAGTTGGAGTCGCCAGCTGGAATGGGATGAAGGGAAAATGGGATTTGTTTTATTAATGTGATTGTCATATTTTTCGGCTTAGCGTATATAATCAATGCCATCCCCTAAGTCAGCATTAAAATAAATCTATTTTAATTTAGTTTAAAAGCTGCTTTGGATATAGATCTAAATATTGGATTGTGATGATTAATCTAGAATTTTTGAAACCTTCAATAAAAAAAAAAGTTCCAGCAAAAGTACTTCGACGGCGCGGACACAGAACATGTTTGAATTATTGCGGACTAAATTTTCAAAATTCTGGGTTGATTGAAATTTTTGTGTTTTCAAGAATTGGAGACATTTTCCCTTCCAGACATATTCAAGGTGGCACAATCAAGAAACTCAAGAAACTGCATTTTTAAACATACCAGCAGATTCTGATTTTTTGAATGTTTTGAATGTTCTTGGAAGTGGAATTGGAATATTTTCTAAAATCTAAAACTTAGAAGAATTTTCTTGAAAATTTTGAGCAGAAGTCAAAAGGAATTTTGTATCAACCGCTGGATAAATTGGCGTGTTAAAATCCCATGAATTTTCATGATAAAACGAGAAAATTTACCTCTCAGACCCATAGACCCTCTTAGACTGGACTATTAATTTTCAGGATACAGTCACTTCAAAGAAGTATTGAGAGAATATTGATGCTCAGAATTTCGGAGAGATTTATGAATAAATTCTTGGGATAACACCCACAGTATTTTAAAGAAAAAAAAAATACAAGTTAGTTTTTACTAGAACTACAAGTCAAATGTAGTAATAGTTCCAAGGTACTTGTTGAAAGAGCTCTAGGTGAATAAATAAGAGTTCAGAGTTGAATTATTTGGTTGTTCTGAGGATAATTCCACAACTATTGTGACAACAATTCCAGGTCCATTTCGAAATTACATTCAAAATGCTGCCCATAAATGAGAAATTGGCTAATGTGCCTGAAGCACGAAATCGAGAAAAATGCAATTTTAACATTTTTGTTGGTTGAATAAGTTTAACTAGATAAAATTGTCTTTTAAAATATACATAACAGTATTTGCCTATGCCGGAAACATGCCGTTGAATAAAAACAACGAAACTAATAGCCATTTTCTATAAAGGCTGATTTTTAATCATAGTAGCCATTTTTTCAATTACAATCTCAGGGAAATTCGCCAAACGGTCATTTGTTTTGGCTAACGTGCATACGTTCTAGTTTATTGTGGTGTGAATTCCAGCTAGATATGGCTTTAAATTATCTACAACAATACGGAACCACTAGTGAAAGTGAGCAGGAGCCAGATGACAGTATTCCGCGTCGTTAACCCACAAAGCGAGAAGCAGTAGCTCTGGAGACTAAAACGATTAAGCGAATAAAACACACAGTGGTGCCTGGAAATTGTGCAGCATGTCCTCTGGATTGTGAATCTAAAATAGATAGAGAAATGCGGCTACGCATCAATGAGTCGTATTGGAACAAGACGCCTGCCGATCAAAAAGGTTTTATCCGGGAAAACGTTCTGCAGATCGAAGTTAAACGTAGACGCATACGTGCCGTTGTGCATAGGAAATGTTTTACATATAAATATCATTTGAAAGATTCCTTTTTCAGTTCGCAGAACGTTTGTGCAACATTTTTTCTGAACCCAATTGGGTATGAAAAATCTTGCAGGTATGAATTCTGTTCTTAATAGGCGTAGTATTTGTTTGTAGTACATTAATTGTAAATTTCAGTAATACTATCTCTCGCGCGTTCAAGAAAGAAGCATCGCGTGACTGGAATATTGATAAGAGGGGTATGCTTCAAAAATTAAAGAGCAGAGATTTGAAAAAGATGGTCACGGAAGACATACTATTACATAATCCTACGATATCTCACTATCGACGGATCCATGCTCCAAATGTTAAATACTTGCCTTCGGACCTTTCAGCCAGACGCTTGTTTGATGCATATATTGCAAAGCAGACCGATGAAAATACGAAGTGTTTATACCAATATTACTGCGGGTATGTTTTCTTGTATAAATCTGTGGACATTTAAAAAATTATATTTTTTACTACAGCATACTTCGAGCTATGAACATCAAATTCACCAAGCTTGGACTAGAAGAATGCGAAGTATGTGAAATTCACCATCAGCATGTAGCTGAGGCTGGCCATAATCATGATTCACCAACAAACGAACCAGCAATTGATCTTTGTGAAGCCTGCAAAATGTGGCACGATCATAATCTACGGGCACGCGCATCTCGCGAAGAATATCAAAAGGATAAAACCAATAAGAAAGCAATAATTATGTCCGTTGATCTGCAAAAGGTATTTTTTTTTGCATTCAATAACAACACATGAATATTTATTGAGTATTGATCTTTATTACAGGTAGTTCAAATACCAAGGATGGACTCTTATAAAACCGTCATATTCACGAAGCGAATAAACATTTTGCACCAAATGTTTGCTCCAGTTGGAGGAGCAAAGCATGGTTTAGTTTATGGTTTCGTTTGGGATGAATCCATTAGCGGAAGAAAGGCATCAGACATCACGAGCTGCTTTCTAAAATATCTGCAAATTGAGCGGAGCGCTAAGCATATTGTGCTTTGGCTAGATAATTGTAGTAGTCAGAATAAGAGCTGGAATCTGTTCTTATTTATGATCCTTCTTGTAAATTCAACGTTGCTTGAGACTAACGTTATTGAATTTAAGTATTTTGAACCGGGACACACCTTTATGTCCGCTGATTCGTTCCATCATGCTGTTGAAAAACGAATGAAATCAGCTGATAAAGGGGAAGTTCATACATTTGAAGATTTTTATACTTGTGTCAACACTGCTCAAGAAAATTCCGTCGCAGTGAAAATGCAGGCATTTGATTTTTTTACCTGTGATATGACATGCAAACCGGCAACCAAGCTGAGACCTCGACCGAAACTTAATGAGGTGAAGCTTATCATATTTTCAAGAGGATCGTATAATTTTACGTACGCCAATGAATTTTCTGGAGCAACAAAATCGTGCAACTTCTTCACCAGAGAACAAATCAGGAATGGTCAATCAGCTGATTTCGACATTTCATCTACGATGCATTTCCGGATGTTACCAAAAGGAGTCGAACTTACACGTAAGCAAGGAATAATACAAAAAATTCTACCGTTGTTGCCTCCCGACAAAAAAATGTACTGGTATAACCTTCCAACCCACGATGACATATCGGATGAAGAATCATAATACCAATGAAGGAGCATAATAATAATGTGTGATTATATTGTAACATTTACCATTTTCATTTCCCTTGCTCTTTCCATTTATTATACATCAATAAAGCTGTTATAAATAAATAAAAACATTCTTTCCATAATATATTTAATTAAAGAGTCTTGCGATAAGCTGTAAAACCGAAAAAATTCTGAATCTTTAACATTTATTTAAAAAAAAATTATAAAAGTTTAACATAAAACAAGTTTTGAATCCTGAATCTTCCGATTTTCAACTTGATGCCTGTGACCAATTGACTATAAAACCATCTTACTTGATGTTAAAAAAAAATCCCTATTAAAAACACACTGGTTGCTGCGCTCGGTTTCAGACTGATCATGCACATTAGACAATTTCTCATTTATATTGCACATTAGCCATCTAGTTTTTCAAGTCATTAGTGAGCGCTCAACTTCCGAGCTGAACATACGCGTTTATGCTATCGCTCGTGGAAGTCGAACACGAACTAATTTCCAGTGTTAACTGTGTTTTTTCGTATTCTGCTCATCGCTGAGCCGTTTTTCCGTGTCGCTGCGCGTCCAAACGACTCCGCGATGGGCCGTCGAGAAAATACCTTTCGAATAGATTTTTCGAATGTGCCGAGAAACCGGACCTTGCCAAAGTCCACAAATTCTGTGCGACCATTCTTGGTCTGAAACAAGGTGAAGTGCTACGTATACAGAACAGAAGAGCCCTCGGTGTTTCGTTCGTGAAAGTTGTCGACCTAGAGTTGGCGCAACGAATCTGCGAGGAACATGACAACCAACACGACATTACCGTCGACGGAAAAAAATATCCGCTAAGGATCACGCTGGAGGATGGAGCAGTGGAGGTGAGGCTCTTCGATTTGTCCGAGGTGTCGGACCAAAAAATCGCCGATTTTCTCGGAAGGTATGGTGACGTCATATCAGTACGAGAGCAACGATGTGGAGCCGATATCGATTTCCCTGGTATTTCGACCGGTGTCCGCATAGCGAAAATGAAAGTGAATCGTAATATCGAGTCGTGGGTCACCATCGACGGTGAAGTGACGAATATATCGTATTTCGGGCAGCTACAAACATGCCGACACTGCCGCGAATACATCCACATCGGGGCTACTTGCGTGCAGAATAAAAAATTGCTCGTACAGAAGTCGTACGCCGATGCCGCAAAGCAGATGCCTTCACAAAAAACATCTCAAGCCGACTATACTCCGAACCAAACCAACACACACTTGAACCAAATCGCTCCCAGTGCGAATCAAAGCAAAACAACTTCGAACCAAGCTGCACGGCCCCGGTTCGAACCAAACTCGGTCAACCCGGCTACCATGCCGCCACCGAAACAAGTTTCCCACCGACAACAGAAATTGTTACCACCGATGCGCAACGAACAGAATTTTCCCACGCTAGCCTCTTCCTCGGCTTCGATTCCCCCATCGGACAGCGGGTCGTTGACTCCCTCTACAGGTCAACAGCCCCCTGCTAGCAGCGGAGTGGATCGCAAAACTGCTAGTGGCAAGTCCGATGGCAACGAAACAGATTCGTCTGTCGGCTCATCCAGCTCAAGAAGGCATCTCCGCAATCGACCACCAGGCAAGAAGCCTCGGGTGGAGGACGACTGCGACGACAAGCGAGATGGGAGTAACCAACTGTCGTAATGGCTGAGTTCTCCAGTTACAACCTCGCCTCCATCAACATCAACAATATCACGAACGGAACGAAAATTGACTCTCTTCGGACCTTTGTACGAACGCTGGAGCTAGATATCGTTTTC